ACATTGAGTTTTGTCTGTGACAGAGACTGCTTATCACAATCAACATATTTTTCTATGTTTCCATAGACATTTATATAAAAAAAGTTATCAAGCTGAGCAATTTGTAACAAAGAAATTAGTATTTCTAACGCTGCACTTTCTTGAAAACTTGGTTTGCAAATCTGCCAACCCCCAAAAGCAAGATGTGAAAACATATAAGAAAAAGTATGGGACCAGTGTATTTTTATTACTGCAGGCCAAATATGCTTGTAATCACAATAAACACATTTTGTTCTCCAACTTCGACCACAGCGATAATCCTTGCACGCATCACTTACTGTGTATTTACGAGTCGAATTCCCGATTCAAGCCGCGCGAACCTAATCACTGTGCAGTGCAGCACAGCTGTTGAAACCACTTTTCACCCCAGCGCTGGGGTGAAATTAGTGAATCGTTTGAACTCCGATTTCGCGGGGTTTTTTTTATCGCGTTATTTTTCAACTTTATAAGTTGAATTAGCTTTTTTGATAATTTGTTACTGTAAGTCCATACCGAAAGGTATCAGAATCTGCAAAGTTGTGTTTTGCGTTGCATGTGACTTTAACATATCTTTGCCACTTCGATATTCTATTATTTTTCATATAGTAAAGGTGTGATTATGAAATGAGTATATTCTAAACCTTTAAGCAGTGCACAGTGTTGTTAATTCAGTAAAATGTAAAGGTATTAACAACAGACCTTTCTGACAGTTAGCTCCATGTCCTCCAACCCAGCCAGCGTCACAGCCTCCTCCACAAACTCCAGTTGTCTGGTTACAGGAGTCTCCACAGTGACAGGTGTAGAGGCAGGATTCACCAAACCTTCCTGGTGAGCATGTTCCTTTTGGACATACATATTCGTGATTCAATATTTAGTAGATAGTTCTTGTCGCATATTCAATGATTCAATCAGATAATATCTTCAAAACAGCATGATACATCAACAACTGACGTTTCTAAACCTTGTAGATACAATCAAGTATGCCCCTCTTACCAAACTCTTAAACAGCATCATAACTCAGACTAAGACGTTACAATATTCAACTGCTTCAAAGATTTCTATTTTAACTCCCACCATATATTTTCATGTTTGATTAGTCTTTGCATGTATGTGACTGGTGCCACCGGTAGACGAGGATACGCTCACCGTTTCGTGGACACTTGGTAACATCACTATTTAATAGTCATTAATAAACGCTTGCTCATGATGTAGTCCGGTTCTAGATAACTCTTTTGGCCGATATAATCTATTGTGGACTGACTGACTCACTCACTTTTTATGTAGTTCTTAACTGGACATTTAACTTACAGAACCCACCTTTAAATATAATGGCAATAATTAAATTTAATCGATAAACACGAATGGTAAAACGGAGAATGACCAACGAGTGATAAGGTCATATGCGAGCCTCAAGAGACTATGTAATCCGTAATACGATGGCGAGCATTATTCATCCACATATACCATGGAAGAAGAAGGGGATTCGTACTCACATTCTCAGGGTCAGGCGCCTAATCACCAGCACACAAGTCAGCCATCTAACCCACTCAGTCAATCAGTAACCCACATAAGTTACATTTCACCACCTTGTAAATGGCATTGTGTATTCATGTCCATAATTGTCAGCAAATTATCTTTTTTCAGTTGTTTCCAATAGTGAGGAACATTTTAGCATGACAACGTTTAGGTCATGTTGGTATTGGATTAATTATATAACGTGGATATATCTTTATGTATACAACATGTATATACTCAGTCTGTATATCACGGTTTCATACTATTTACTATCATTTACGCATTCTTTTAACTGGTCCATGATAAGTGATCAGTGTTATAAATTACTGCCGAGAGTAAAACAGTCGTGGCAACTATGCTGTACCATGACAATGATTGACATAAAGAACACTGTACATCAAATAAGGAATCATAAAATGACACTTGCCGAGTATTAGCTGTATCCAGCAGGCTGATGTGACCAGGAAGCCATTTAATATCCACACACCCGCCATGTTGGACAACCAGGAAGTTATTTCCGCTTGACTGTATAGCTGGGACACACACTACTTCCCGGGTACATCTCATGCTGCTCACCGTCAAAATACACACTGTAGTCTATCATTGTGTGTGTGTGTGTGTGTGTGTGTGTGTGTGTGTGTGTGATTACATTACATGTAAACATCTGAAGTGCATGTTTATCCGTGCCCTTTATGCAACCGTGAGTCAAGTGGTCTGATGGCATTCAGCTTCCAAAACATTTCGTGAATTTACGTGAGAGTATTTTTATACATCTGCACACCTTTTTGCCCTCAAACATTCTTATTGCATGCTATTGTTTGGTGCGCCATTTTCAATCACCGAACGTGTCCATGTTTCTCAAAAGCCATGAAGCGTTTCTTGCTGGTGACGGTAAGGGATGAGTTTGAACGGATGGGTCAAGCTGTCATTTGGAAACTTTCAACGTAAAGTTCTATGGTCCATGGGTGATAACTCCAAGTTTCGTTTTTTCAATCACCTGATCAAAGGCCTAGTTCATGTGCACATCGAATTAGGCATGTGTAAATTGGATACAGTTTTTACGGACGAAATAACTCAAATAATTAGTCTTAGTATAATGCACACGCTCAAGTATGATTCACATTAATGTCATACTGGGCGGGTGGAATTAGCAGTGGTCACATGAACAAGAAAATTAGCCTGAAAACCTATGCATCAAATTTGGGGAATTATATGCTGAAGCCCAACCAAGCCCATTTCTCAAAGCTCTGAAAAAGATCTGACGACACAGAAGTCACTCAACAGCCATGCTGTGTCCTCCCTGGTTTCTTTCAGTTTCAGGTACAGCAAGACTTAGTAGCAAGATTAAATGTTACTGTGCAATTATTAGGTTTTGTGTTTGGGAGCAATACATCGTTCTCAAATGAAATCAAACGGACTGTACCGTCTCACGCTGCACCATCAGTTGACCAGGCTTTAGTAACTGTTCCTTTTTATAATGAGCCTTGTCTGATGAATCTACAAGGGTGATGTCATCAGGCTTTCTCTCATTCTCTCATTTTGAACAACTCTGTATCCAAGCTTGCATCTGGCACCAGCGATCAGTAGAACACCATGGTCTGGACCGAGACCTCATTCTAATTTAGGAGCGGTAGGGTAGCCTAGTGGTTAAAGGGTTCGCTCGTCACGCCGAAGACCCGTGCTCGGTTCCCAACATGTGTACAATGTGTAAAGCCCATTTCTGGTGTCCCCCGCTTGAATATTGCTTGAATATTGCTAAAAGCGGCGTAAAAGTTAACTCGCGCACTCATTCTAGTTTACTGTTTTCTGACTAGCTGATAGCAGTGTGGTGGTGCGGTTGATTTGCCATTAAACTTACATTTCGTCTTGTAGTATTACTGCGCAGAACGACGTCATTCATTTCGTGCGGTTGACAAAGGTATTTTGTGTTAATAATTCTCTGATGTTATTATTATCATACTGTTTTGATTTATAACAGTTAAATTAATTGATTAAGAAAAACACCACAAATTGTGTTATTATTAAATAATGCACAGTTACTTTATTCCAGTAGTACATTGATCAATAATATTGTTATTAGCGTTGAGGTCCCTATGTTTGGTGTGACTACAAAATCCTGCTTAATCCACAAGCATAAATGAATGAATTATCTCGTAAGTATGGGACGGTGAACAACATGAGTTAGTTCAGGTGTATACGCTTTGAGGAAATTAACCAACAGCTCTTGGAAGCACTATCTTTGGTACATTACATGAACAATATGCATATGTTGACATATTCTAACTGAGCCAACTAACATAAGAGGAAGGGGAAAGTCTGAAAACACAGTAATATCCGCAATGATAACACAGGGAAACTTCATGTCCAATGAGAATGTGATGAATCACAATCAGAGACCCTCCTAAAAGCTGAGTCCACTCAGACACCCACAACCCATTCGTGAAACACATCTTATTAATTGTGTGCCATATATAGTACAATGTATAAGTGGAAAATAATTGACGTCTTTTCATTTTCATATGGAACATAATGTGTATATGAATAAATATAGACAAATCAAACAACGGCGACCAACTCAATCAAACTTATCAAATCTGATCAACTAGACACGATATTGTGTCGATATTGCTTTACAATACAAATACAAAAAGGATGCATGGATATCAACATTGACAATAGTGAAGACAAGTGTTGTTATATGAGCTTGAATATCAAGAAATACACTATGTATAGTTTAACTGTTATATAACACGTCATCATTTGGCAACGTGCGTAAAAACATCTCCCGTGTCCTTATATCCTAATGGTTTTAGTAGGTTGCTTTATACAAGATGCATGATATTGAAATATGCCTCTATATGCTCTTTATCACATACTTCGTAATGTCTCCTAGTGTCACATCTCATAAGTCGCATGATCTAACAAAAGACGGTTATATGACTGAACGTCTTATGCAAGCCACTGAGAATATTTTCTTCTGAAAATAAGACATGATAATTATTATCTGTCAAACCATACTTGTCAATATCTCGCTAAAGTTAATACTTGATGTCGTCTCAAAAGGACAACCTCTAATCATAAACAGTGATGTTGTAAATTATGTTTTGAAACTGGTTTGGATTATGGTAGGATGACCGCATACGCAAATACTAGTATATTTATCAAAGCAAAATATACTAATGGAATCGAATACTAGTGTTACAAAATCACATGGTAATATGGCGACATGCATGTTTGGAGTACATGCCAATAATCAATGGTGTTATATGGTCAATACACTAGATCTCAATCAATTAACCGTGAAGATACGGGTTAGAATTGGTCTTCAGCAACCCATGCTTGTCGTAAGATGCGACTAATTGGATCGGGTTGTCAGGCTCGCTGACTTGGTTGACACAAATCATCGTATCCCAATTGCGTAGATCGATGTTCATGTTGTTGATCACTAGGTGGTCTAGTCAAGACTCGATTATTTACAGACCGTCGCCTTATAGCTGGATCATTGCTGTGTGTGGCATTAAACAAGAAAGAAACAAAAACAATCAATTGATAGAGATACGAGAGCAGATTGAAATAGTTGTCTTCCAGCTCGAGTTCACTCCTTGCCGGCACAGATAGAGTGAGTGAAAATATTAGGTCGTGTTAATATCGTTATTTAATCTCGCACAATTTATTATAGTCACCATCCATGTCACGAGAAGTGCTGTCAAGCGTTTCATATGTCCGTGGCTCTGTTGGCTCGTATATGTCGTCCCCTTCCTTGTCCGCCACTTCATCAGATGCCCCATCACCTGGCTTGTCTGTGTTGAGTGTGCAATATGTCTCTGCAGAGCCTTGGGCGTTATTTGACATCCCATTGAGGCACTCATAAGTTCCTGCTTCAAGGTTAGTTTCTTCGTTTTCTGGTGATTGTTTTGTTTCAGGTTTCGAGAGATGACTTGTGTTATAGTAATCATGGGATTCAGATTCTTCCAGTGCTGGTCTGATTTACAAATATATTCGAACAATCAACAGCAAAATCCTTTCTGCGTTAATTCATGCCTCTTTATATTAGAACCATCGGTTAAAACACAAATAGTGTAATTGCATTACTATCGAGAGTCTGTTTCTATTTTTACACGTTATACCACAACGTCATGTTTTGGAAATGTAATAGATTATTGAATATCATTTGAATCAGCATCCGTTACCTTCGTCTTCTCCAGATGATAACACCAACGGCAACTGCTACAACTACAGCGACAACGATTGCTGTTACTGTCACTGCAGGTATAAGTATGTCTTGCTGAGGTACAGACGCTGGAACTGAAACAACACTTTCACCCTTAATGATAATTAGGTCAGTGAAATACTGTGTTTTGACAACTCGGAACATTTTATAGACACTGTTTATTCTTTTGGTGGCACTGATATCGTTCACAGCACTTCTGCATTTTCGTACAATTGTCACTATCTTTGTGTGAAGTGCACGTTCCGATGATATCTTCCAACCTTGTATTTGATTTCAGATAGAAGTTTCGAAAAAACATTTGGAGGAAAATTATTAGTGAAATGGCATCAAAGAAAATAGTTTCATTTCGTCAAAAGAGTGAATTTGAACTTTACAATTCGATGTTGTCTCCGTGTATGGTTCGTTTTAAGAAAGTAAGTATTTCCTCCCCCTTGAGTGGTTTGTTTTGCTGGAGTAAAGACAATGGAAATGAAATAAACACTTTTAGCTGCGATGGCAATTAGGCCAGTGACAAATAATATAGTGCTCTGACAATTAAGTATTTTTTTTCCTTTTGCAGACACTACTTGTTCTTTGATTGAAAACTGACAATCGTATCTGTCAAAACATTTTTCAACCATGACTACGTGAAATGCTCGAATTTGATTGGTCAATCCATAAAATCAGACGGTATCAATTTGGTATCATGGTATATGTTATATATTGTTCTTAGGTGTTACAGTATTGCATTGAATAAACAGTAGTTTGTTTTCTTTGGACAGAATATTTTTTTATGTTGCAATGTTACAAAAAATACGAACGGAACCTACCACTCCCTTCACAGACGAGTTCAAGTCGCCTTTTGTCCCATGCCGGATTACGCAGTGTCTTCCGCAGGACGAGGTAGTTCGATGTTAAATCGGTTATTGTAGAAACATACTGTGTTTATCGCCTAAATATATTCACGTCTGATAGTTGATCTCTTTGAGTGAACGGTTATGGCACATATTCCGTTATCGATACCTTAATACCTAGTGTGTGGAGATACCGTGCGTACATTTGGCGAACATTATTGGCATTTCTACAAATAGACATAGCTTAGAAGTTTCATTTTGGCGAAACAGCAACAATAGCTTAGTAGTTTCATTTTGGCGAAACAGCAAACTTTAAGTTTACAATTCGGTGAATCTGGTTGCTTTTATGCAACAAAACCATATTTTTCACCTTAATACTTGAACCATGAAACATAATACAATTATACAAGCAGATATGCTGTAAACCTAATTCAAACAGACATCCCCAGAGAAAATGAAGCAACCTTTGTTTTATGATTGTCCTGATTTCACATGACACTCATTGAGTCATACATGTCTGCAGAGGGGAATATTACCCCTGCTGTCAGTCTCTGTCCACCCTGTCTCACACCCATAGTCACACACCCCTGTTGAGTTACAGAAAGATTTCCCCATACAGTGTCTGGAGACACATTTTTTGGAACAGTTGGGTCCGTAGTGGTGGCTGCCACATTCTAACAACACATAAGTAAAACGCGACTCCAACATTTAACTCACGTAAGATTATCAAAAGATGTTTTCTTATTAACCCGATGGTTTCATTACCTGTGCAATCAGTCTCTGTCCATCTTTCCTCACACCCATTGTCACATCCCCCTGTTGAGTTACAGGAGGAGCTCCGCATACAGTGTCTGGTGGAGTAGGTCTTTGTACAATCTGGACCATACAGATGGGTCTCGCAAGCTGCAGCATGTATAAATGTATAAATCATTATTTAGAATTGGTACCAAAACGTCTGTTGCATTTCACCACCATAAACGACACAATTTAACAAACACCGTTACCTGTGCAATCAGTCAGTGTCCATCCTGTCTTACACCCGTTGTCACATGCCCCTGTTGAGTTACAGGAAGAGTTCCCCTTACAGTGTCTGGAGGCGCAGGCCTCAGCGCAGTTAGCTCCGTAATGTTGGCTGTCACAGACTTACAACACATACAAACACTGTCAAGCAATACAGTACAAAATAATTGATGTAAATATGACGTGATTCATCGATCGTGCCATGGGGCTAGGTTACATGGAGTTTGTGTCATCCACTGACCACCTTGTGCTTATCTACGTCTATCAGTATCGACGACCATTAACAACTTCTTTAATTTCAAGTGGTGTCTTACTCATATATTATTTTATATTTATATTATAATGCAATAATGTAAAAGTAACAAAACATGTATTTTATAAAAATGCACAATAGAACATCTCTGGCGGTTTGGACGTGTGTTAAGCACGTGAAGCCGTGTTGATATGTAAAGTGCCGTTACCCTCATTACAGTCTTCACCCTTCCATCCAGACACGCATCCCAAAACACATGTTCCTCTCACATGGTCACAAGACGAATCTCCTGCACATTTTCGATCTGAATACGCCATGCTGCAGTTCTGTCCATAGGTTCCGTGGCCACATTCTGTAGGGGAAAACATGTGTAATCATTTAGTGTACGTGCATAAATTTCAGTTATGCACGCTTTCTTTCAACAACCAAACAGGACACAATATTTTGTAATTGTAAGCTTTTCAGTTTTTGAAAATACGCGCACACAATTGCAGGATTATTCAAACAGATGTCACTGAAGAGATTGCAGAATATTTATTACTAAAGAGAATAAAGCAATAACAATACAAAAGAACATAATATTCACTGAAAATAGAAGTTGGTATTCAGGGCCCAATATGTTAACGTTCAATTAAACCGACCATTCAAAATTTAATGTTTTTACTTGAAGTTATAGATATTCCTACAACACCTCATTCATTCCAGACCTACGCAATTTTGAGTCCCGGTCAGAATAGATCCCACGCACTCCAAGAACCGACTCCAAGCATATACTTTCTCAATGGTAAAATATGACTAAAATGTAATATCCGGTCAAATGAACTTGAGGTAGTGAGTTGCATATCACATATTGATAAATATTGGAGTACCCTGTGACTCAAATAACATATGTCAGCATGTACCTTGTGCAGTGAGTGAGTATGTTTTTTACGCCGCTTTTAGCATTATTCCAGCAATATCACGGCTGGGCAACACCAGAAATGAGCTTAACAAATTGAACCCTGGTCCTCGGCGTGACGAGCTGTAACCACTAGGCTATCCCACCGCCCCGTACCTTGTGTACAGTCCACTCCTCTCCAACCAGGAAGACAACCCCTGTCACATGACCCGGTGTAGCGATCACATGACGATATGACATCAAAACACTTCCTGTCAGTACATGTGTTCACACAGTTGACTCCATAGTGACCAGCATCACATTCTACAGGGAAAACGCAATTTGAGCATTTATCAAACGACCAAATCTCGATTTCAAGCAATCGACATCAATGTTTATGCTATCAGAGTGTTCTGAAGTCAAAATAATGGTGACGTTATGTTGTATGAATCTGCGCTTTGAAGCAGTTTTCAAAATACAATTTATTTATGCAATAAAGTGACTGTATTGCTAGCTATCCGTAGGACTTTTCAGCACGTGGAGCTGAAAGAACAAAAGAGAACTACGCTAATGGAAACAGATTTTGACCTTTTAGGAGATTTTCTCAGTGAACTACAATATGTGTAGATACGTCAAAAATATAACAGATGAAATCAGTATCTTGAATGGACTACGCAAGATGTAAGGAATCATCTTATGGCGGCTGTCTGTGGCAGAATTGCTTAGATTGCCGCATGGAACTTTTTTAGGAAAGAGAGTGCATCCTGTCGCAACTGTTGAGTTACAGGAAGATTTCCATCACAAGATCTTGAGATGCAGGTTTTATCACAGTTAGTTCCATAATGTTGACTGTCACAGGTTGTAACAGTATCATGACGCACGAAACATGGCATGTTATATTGATATTAACCTGATATGTGCAAGGTGTATTTGTCTCTGTTTCTTTGGCGGGAACATCGTCGCTTAAAGCTGAGTCACTCATGAAGGAGTGTCACTAAATTCAACAAATAGACATATTTTCCATATATATGTATGTTCAAATGTTTCACAATGTTAATTGCAATGATCACCCTGTCTGCAGTCTTCATCCTTCCACAGTATCTCGCATTCTGAAAGACATGACCATTAGTAGTTTTTTTTTGTTCGCACTCAGCTTTATCCCAGATACATGCATATAGTGGCGATGTGTAAATATTTGAATCTGGACCAGACAATCCAGTGATCAACATCATGAGCATCGATTTTCTCAGTTGGGATACGATGACATCTGTCAAACAAGTCAGCGAGCCAGTTCACCCGATCCCTTTAGTCACCTCTTTCAACAAGCATGGGTTGCTGACGACCAATTCAAACCGGTATCTTCAAGGGCGACCCTAAGTTGAATTTGATGCGCACTTTTTGTTATTACACCAGTGGCTCCAGTTCTCTCCATATTTTCCTGTTGAGCATGTTGAGGAAAAATCACAATGTCAAGGAACTACTTGCTACCCGTTTCACTTACTTAAGTGATTATAGATACTTGCTACGATATAGCAGGTATTAAATGGACAAAACCCCATAGTCCTCACTGTATCAGAATGTAATGTCAATTGGGAGACATTCTAGCATTCAGTTTTATTGTTATCGGGTGATGGTGTTTTATGTATTCATATGATAGTGTAAATAAAAAGTATAAACGATATCAATATCCTGTAAAAGTTTTGTTTGGAGATCAGACTGTTTGCAACCAGTCCAAAATTAATCATATACTCACATACAAGGGAAATCCTCGAAAAGCACAATTGCCCGAATACATCGAACTTTAAACGTTTTGGGAAATGTATGTCTGTGTCCCTAATCAAACTGTCGAGTGGATTCAGAAAGAACCTGTACCGGAAATTGGTGCTGTACGAAATTCAAAAGCAGAATGCAAATAATGCTTAGTAATAATTCAATATTGACATTTACGCAGTACAAATGTCACGACAAGCTTATTAAAAGCAGAAAATACACATTTTTTCGCGGAATAAGGAAGGCCGAACCAGAAAGAAGCAAAACACCGAATGACACAAGACAAACAGCTGTAGGAACAAGGATAAATGTAACCTGACATGCACATATTACTCAACATGCTTTTATCACGTTGTAATTGAAGCGGAACAAAGAGTGAGTGAACCGGGCTAACGCTTTAACCACTAGGCTATCCCACCGCCAAAAGAGAACAGAGAAGACACGCGGACAACAAGATAGAAAATTAGTCTGAAATCTAACTATAAAGAAGTTTTGCAAAAACTATGCAACCATGAACGTATTCCCTGCAACGGAATATTCATAATGTGTTTATTATGAAGGTTATAGCTATATAATCAGTGTAATTACATGCGTGAATTGTGCTTCTCAAATAGAAGAGTTTTGTAAGAAAAAATACCAAATATTTTCTGTATGGGCAGAACACTGTATAATATTCATTTACAAATAACTTCACATGAAACAGTATAAGAACACAATATCAAGAAACAACTTAAGTGTTTCAGTATCAGTGTTTGTGAAAACGTATTCATCGTAAGTAACAAAACGAAGACTCATGGCAGACTAATACTGAACACCATGCTTTGACCAAAAGACAATACAGCTGCCATGTACAATTTACATGTTCAAGCAGGTTTACTGCTTACATTATGAGAACGGCGACGGGAAGATGGGTCTGTATCATAAATCGAGTCGTTTGTGTTCCTACCGGGAGTTGGATCTCTCCTGAATTGTATGAGTAGCTAGTAAAGTTGGCAACTTTACTATGTGGATTCACAGAGGTATGGGCGTCTAATGCATTTGCTCCGGGTGAAAATCGATGACGGTTGTCCGGGAACATTTGAAACATTCATAGCTGGTGATCTTGCTCAACTGATTTCAATTTCTCATCCTCGTCCATTTTCATGAGTTCAAATTACAGGTGGGGGCGTCGTCATCAACCCGGGACATTAAAGTTCGTGGTATAAATGCGTATATATAGTGAGGGAAACAACTAAGGGGGCACCATTTCATGGCAGTGTTCCTTTATTTATTCTCAGAATTCCTCCCACAGCACTAATCAAAGCTGGTGGTAAAAAACTGGAAAACATTAAAGGAACACTTGAATTTTCAAGTGTTCCTTTATTTGTTTCTCTCAGTATATGCCCAAATGTACCCAGATATACTCACTAGGATGCAAACACCCAAGGGTAAAGAGATGCGTATTAACGGGACTTATTAATAATAAATGTCGACCTCTGAAGGGGGCAACCAGCTCGGCCAACTGGTTTCACTAGTTGTGTTGTGAAATGATGCACATACAGTAAATATTTACACTGTTCACATTAAGGAGCCTCATTCTACCTTTAACCGAACCACCAGAAAATGTTAACTTGCCCTAAACCTGTACAACATGTCCACGTTACATACCCTTGAATATACGACATGTTTTTTAGAGCAGGATAGTATGAGATCATTTATACATACTTTGTTTGAAGTGTTGACATAACACATGTTCTGTTGCATTCGGAACCGTCGATTTGTTTACTCGCATGGTTAAAGGCAAACAAATGCATACGTTGTGGACATTTAAATTGTATGTAACCAGACACCGCTAAGTACTCCGCTTTAGCAAAGAGATGTACCCCAGCTTGGCAGTCGAGCGGAAATAACTTCCTGGTTGTCAAAACATGGCGTGTGTGCGGATAGTGACAGTCGGCATTGTGTTGTCAACATACTTGATACCGCTTGTAACAGGTAGGTTATCAGTTAGTTTTCAATGTGTGGTTTTCAGTCTGTGCTCAATGATCACTTGCTTTCATTGAAGTGTTCTCACTTACCATATAGTAGGACTGTTGCAGTATCAGAACTGCTGGTGTGTTGTTTAATATCCTTTATATAATACCGATGTATGTCTTCTGGCTGACTCTACTTTAATGCTCTGTCCATGTCCTACAAAGATAGCCTTTTGTTCTATGTGGTAAAGGTACAGTGAGGCCTCGATCTGGAGGCTAGCTATTGGGAGCTAGCATTGAAACAAAAGAGGGGAGAGCTGTGAGTTCCTCAGGTTTAATCAAGCAAGTGTTCCTGTGATAAAAAAACAAGTATTTTATACCTCACAGCTGTACCCGTTTAACATTAACAATTTCTCTGATGTTATAATTTCATTTGCATGATTTGCTACTGTGCTGCACGAAGTAGGTGGTAAGAGCATATTCTCGGTATTACGTTACAAGAGTCTATTTTAATCACAATGAAGCCGCATCCATGCATGTCTAGCTGGTAAGAAAATATATATCAACGCTTGATCATGGCAATTACGACATGAGAAACGGAATCGTAGTAACATTCAACAAATGTTGATTTTTAATTCCGGCTTGGTCGATGGTAAAACATGTGCCTGCTGAAAACTGCATGCATAATTTCTCTTGACCAAGGAATGCACAATGTACATGTTGCTACCGTGGTTAGTGGGTAATGGGATAACATCATGAACGACCTTCTCGTAGTGAGTATAATGTGTCTGCTGGGGTTATCACTGAGATGGGTACCTCAGTGGGCCACAATCATAAAACCGGCACCAGTCGGGACCAGTCTGTTTCTATTTTATGATGACCAATTAAAAATAAGATTAAAAGTATAACATGTTTACATTGTGTATGGAAAATGACAAGAGAAATAGAAAGTTGCAAAAATAGGAAAACAAATTATGTTTAAGTAGATACAGTGTATGTGTACAGTTATTTTACTTGTATTGCTTGTAATTCAAGCAAAGACGTGTGTTGTTAAGCATCATTTCGTTATACGGTTGTGTAATTGTGTGACTGAATGTTGCATGTTGAATGTTGAATGTATTACATTGTTAAGATTCAGTAGACATTCTCAATATTGTGTTTTTACAATCTATGTAGGCATGTATTACAATGTAGTCAGTTGCGCTGGAGTTACTATATTTAGATGCTTCTGGAGTCAAGTGTAATCTATAATCTTCTTGAAATACTGTAGAGGACTCAAACACTTTTTGTCTACATTCATGTATTGCGGTTGTGTCAAACCTCGAATAACACGATATATTTAGATATATCCCTTCGGTAGTGTTTGACCGTAACTGTCTAGCTGGTATTTGACTACATAATGAGTAGACCAACGGGTTAGGGAAGGTAATATATCACCCTGGATATCCAACCTGTGTTTGTTTCGGAAGCGTCACCACAGCTCGTTGAGTATTTTTATCACTGACTTTATATTGCTTTGTTGTTGTTTGTTTATGTCCCGCTATATTCCTTCCTTCTGAGATAACTGATCGGTTCAATTAGGCATCGTCACCTAGCAGTAGTAAGATTTGGTTTCTGTATAACTTGCGTAGGGTGGCTATAAACAAGACATATAACAAAAAGTTATATTCATTTTCGATATGGTTTTAGTTCCAAACTTTATAATTTCATCATTTTCTACATGCAAAGTAGGAACATATATACATGGAGACATTGTGAGGAGTAAGCCAAAATGTATTTAATGTGGTCCGTCATGTATTAACGATAATACTATTTGAATAGTTCTACCCTGTTTGTACGTGACGCCTGATAAACAATGGGTGATGGGGTGACCTAGTGTTAAGCGCTTGCTCGTCACGCCAAAACCCCGGATTGAATCCCTTCAAAGTTAAACATGAGACACATGTGACCCCGGCTGTGAAATTGCTGGAACATAAAAAAACATTCTCTCTCACTTCAGTCAATGATTATTACTCTGGCGGGCGGAATAGCTTCCCGCGAAATGCAATCACTGACAAAGTATTTTTTAAAAGAAACACCTTGAAAGTTATGCCAAGGCAATAGTCGTTTCACCTTTTTTGAAAATTATTTCACTTAGAATGTGCCTTCAGTAACCCATGCTTGTCGTAAGAGGCGACGAACGGGATCGGGTGGTCAGGCTCGCTGACTTGGTTGACATATGTCATCGGTTCCCAATTGCGCTGATCGATGCTCATGCTGTTGATCACTGGATTGTCTGGTCCAAACTCGATTATTTACAGACCGCCGCCATATAGCTGGAATATTGCTGAGTGCGGCGTATAACTAAACTCACTTACTCACTCACTTAAGTTCGTCAATTCATTTAGTCACAGTGTATATTCCTAAAGCAGGAAATTTATCAGCCAACATCATTCCCGCGTGATACACTCCATTTTTCTTTTTCAAGAGTTTATGACTGATTTTCATTCAATTATTGCACGCCAGTTAATATATTTCTATTTTCAAGGGACAAATCCATGCATTTCCTGTTTACCGCAATTTTGCTGCTTTCGCTACGTCAGAACTGCAGTACATACGAGCGTCAAAACGCTTTTTACATCCATAAGAAATCTCTGCTTGTGTTAATGAACACCACGACAAGTTGCCCATCAGTCATAAACAAATGGGAAGGCTAGTTAATTGTTCTCTTGAATATGTACGAAAACGAATAGCACAAGGGAATAGGGAATGGCATTGGACATCGCTTTGTCACTGATGCGTGAGATATTTCCTATTCTGCTTCGTCGTTTCCTCATCACAAGAGGCATCCCTTTGTTTTCAAGATATAAGCAATAAGAATCATAGAATATGTCTACGCGTAAATAGTTACGGCATGTTTAGATATGCCGTTACTAATCACGAACATGCATGTCTTAAAGGTACATGCTCACCAGGAAAGTTTGGTGAATCTTGCTTCTACTCCTGTCACTGTGGAGACTCGTGTAACCAAACATCTGGAGTTTGTGGAGGCGGCTGTGAGTCCGGCTGGGTTGGAGGAAATGGAGCTAACTGTCAAAAAGGTATGATGTTAAGGTATGATGTATCTGTAAATGTCCTGAATGAATATTTTCGACTGCCTAAATCACTGTTCATAAGTTTTTGAATAACTACATCTCACCTTGAAATATAAGCATCGACTTTGTCAAGGCTGTATTTAAGAAATACAGTTCGCGCTACGCCCTTGTATAGTGTAATAAAGTACACTTTTGTCCTGAACTACTATATTTAAAGTACGAGGTCTTGCCAAAGTGTTCTTTATTACACTATACATAGGTGTAGAGCGATCTGTATTTCTTTCTTAAGATGCTAAATTTAATGCTTAACGACGATAAATCTAAAGCAGAGAACAAACGATGTCGGTGACCTAAATACACAATCCTCGTTCAGGGCTAACTGATCCGCTGTTCTATTGACTTGTCTGCCCCCCTACGTTAAGATGCTCGTTACCAGAAACACAAATGATCAACAGTTTGATGACGGTTTACGATAAAGTACCGTCGGCGCCTTTGATCTTTTAGTGAGGCATCTTAGAATGCATATTACTAGCAAATAATGGTCAATTTATTAACTTCTCACTGACACAGGGGTTAATGATTTTTTGTTGTAAAAGCTAGTTGCGTATAATACAACGTTTAACGTATTGCAGTATACCATTGTTCCACATGAAAGAGAGAACTATGACAAGATATATACTAAACTATAAGCAGAATAGTGGAAATGAGACCCGTCAGTGATACCCTTTTTGTGTTGAAAGCTAATAAGGAAGCGCTGTCACACTCCAATTGCCAAGTTAAAGATACCATATATAGATGTTTGGATTTTTTTATTTGATGATTTACACTTTAATCATTGGAGAATATTTACTCAAAAATATTTTCATAAAACAGAAAATGTTGCATACAGAAGAACGGCCTCCTCCCCTACTCTGCTGTATTCAGACTCATGGTCTGCGGACAAAGCTGTAGATGGGACCAGGGACCAGGATGTGCACCACGGCTCCTGTTTCAACGCAGCTGACAGTACGTGGGGTTTGTGGACGGTGGACCTAGGAAAGCAGTACAGGATACATGATGTCAAGATATATCAGCCATCGCATGGTAATGATTTGACTAGCTGAAATTGACTACTCTAATATTGAAATATTTATTTTAATTATATCTCACGTTTTGACAAAATGGATTACAAACGATCCGATGAGACAGCAAAATGTGTTTCAGGATGGTTCACTGGGGACAATGCCTACACTGCCTAAGAATTTGCATAATTGTAATATACTGACACATCAACTTAATTCATATTTCTTCATGTAAAGTCGAGGCGGAGGCATTTTGACACATTGTGCTTAACGTAACTGGTTACTTTAGTTCAGTGACAAAGACAAACACAGTTTATTCGATGGCAAACATAATAATTCATTGTAAATGAACTCACGTCTGTCTGTATGAATGATATCTAGTCGGTCTTACATCGGAAAAATCTATTTTAGCACTAGCAAGAATCCGGTCTTGTGTGCTCTACTTGAGTGACACGAGCTCCTCCACTGGCCTCCCTTGCTATGCCTTCCCATCCGACACCCCTGTCAGTAACGGCGGGATCTACAGTGCAACATGTGATGGCATCGGAAGATATTTCTCAATATCAAACACCACGTTCCTCAACCTCTGTGAGGTAGAAATATATGGTAGGTATGTATTAGATTTCTACTAGGTTACAGTGTGCATGTGTTTCAATGCCTCAAACAATCCGTAAAAGGTTAATTGTGAGTTTAATGTATAATCAATAAGATGCACAAATATGTTTTCTGTTCCAATCGAGGATTGATGATGGATAAAAGTAATCATGTGTTGAAAACAGACCATGATCGACTGACATTGGAAGAAACAGTCACACTCTGGGTGTGCACTTCCGTCATCAATAATATTCTTGTATGGCAGGACACACACATACGTTTACTATAATCGGACATAACCCTCTCATATCTCGACGAATATTAGATATGGACAAATTTTATATAAGTAATATAATTTTACATTACTACTGCGTAACCGTATCGATACGTCGTATTTTCAGTTTGCAGCCCTGGGTTGTTTGGTGAAACCTGTAATGAATTTTGCTACTGCGCAAAAGAGGCGTGTGACCACGTAAGTGGGTTGTGTCCTGGAGACTGTAGACCAGGGTGGCAGGGAGACAGGTGTGATACAGGTGAGGACATAGTATAAGAGAGACTGGTATTAGATAGGTGAGGAGGCTGACGCCGGACTCTGCTATATGGCTGCGGTTTATAAATAATCATGCTTGTACCCGATAGTCCGGCGATTACCGTCACTATCATGGATCTGAGCATTTGGGATATGAAGCAGACACGCATGAACTAAGTCGGGAAGCCTGACAGCCCATTCCTCTTTGTCTCCTGTCTTAACAATCATGGGTCGCTAAAATCCAATTCTTCACGGGTTTGTGTCCCCAAATGAATGATGTAGGCTGCTTGAATGTTTTTTGTGGCGTGCGTCGTATTGTCTGATAGTTATGAAGCAGTCTCTCCTGATTCCTTTATGGCATTATATTGACGTACCGCATTAAAACTTATCCTCAAATCTAAACTATGAGATACTCAAACTGTGATTTTCTTGTAGAATGTGACGCAAATCACTATGGAGTCAACTGTGTAAACACGTGTACTGACAGGAAGTGTTCTGATGTCAACTCGTCATGTGATCGCTACAGTGGGTCATGTGACAGGGGATGTCTTCCTGGTTGGAGAGGTGTGGACTGTTCACAAGGTACACGCTGCCGTTCAATTCAAAGCAAATGTTGGGACATGAAATATAATCTACTCAGCACCTTGCATGAAACCCAATCTTTTATATTAGTCATAGATTGACCTCCAATATTTATCAGTGATATGAAAATCACCACCTCACCTTCATTTGTTAAGACGGGTTTACCATATAGTCAAAATTCACTACTAAGAAAGCAACACTGTGTGGCCGCTATACTTTAATGGGAGTCTGTTCTTGAAGTGTGTGGGATCTATCCTCACTAGCAATCAGAAAAACGTACGTGTTGAATGGATGAGGAATTGTAGAAATAGCTATAACTGAAATCAAAACAGACTTGAACGTGCACATATTGACCTCTCAGTATCTTGTTCGGTTTTCAGTGATTTATATGTTCTAATGTGTTGTTTGTGCTTTATTCTCTCTATATTGAAATATATACATTGCAATCTCTCCAGTGGCATATGTTTGGACAATCAAGCAACTGTGTGCGTTTATTTTTTCCCAAACCAAAAACTTAGTTGACGCCCAGTTACAAAAAAACTGTGTCCTGATTAGTTGATGAAAAAACGGGCCTGTGTTGCACTATAGAACGATTTCACTAATTCAGTTCTGCTGTCATTTGTGTGTCACTCATTAAAAAAGGAGTAAATTACCGTTGACGTATATGTGTAAATACTGGATTACAATATGTACTTCTGTTGATGGAGTATAAGCGCAGTGTATATTTTGCATAAATATATACAGTTTGCACTTCAGTTTTTAGGTTTCTAACGCCTTAAACGAAATAATATCAAACTCAATTCTTAGGGGCCAATACTAATCTGATCTGATGTTATTCTGACAACATGAGTGCATAATCGAAATCATTTCGTACACAAATTGTAGTTGCTTGTGTATTGCCACACGCTTCACAATCACAAGGCATATTATAACGACACATGTTACAGAATGTAGCAACGGAACCTATGGACAGAACTGCAGCATGACGTGTTCAGAAAGGAAATGTGCAGGAGATTCGTCTTGTGACCATGTGACCGGAACATGTGTTTTTGGATGCGTGTCTGGGTGGAAGGGTGAAGACTGTAATGAGGGTAACGACATAGTATAGTCTAACATGTAGTCTATAGCTTTATATATAGAGAGAGAGCTTCATATAGCCATACACATGCAGAGCTTAGGAGATGTTCCGTTGTGTATTCCTATAATAGGGTTCGCTACCAAACAAATATTTTGTTACTTCTCCGTTTTTGCAATACAAAACAAAAGGTATGTCTGTATGTTCAAAATGCAATTTATTTATCAAATGAGATACTGCAATACTGAAAGTTGTCGATGGTGGTCAATACTGATAGGGATCAATCATTTGACAAACGTTTACCAGGGCTTGTTCAGACTTAAACCATGGATTTCTGCCTGTACATGTGATGAGACCATCAAATACTTTCGAGATGGCCAATATTCTGAAGGAACAACGATTTAAGACATATGTTTGCACGGGCTAGCTCATGTGCATATCAGATCTAAACGACAGATCTCAATAGTTTTTCTCCTATGTTTGTTCATCCTCTAGTGTGCAGTCCAGGTTTTTTTGGTGCCGAATGTGAAGAGAAGTGTGGACTATGCGCCAATAATTCCACATGTGATGCTAGTTCAGGCAACTGTAGCTCTGGCTGTGTTGAAGGATACATGGGTCCCCAGTGTAAAGATCAGAATCAGAGACATATAGGTATGTCTATCAAAGAAACCTGTTGGTTCAATTACACACGTGTTAGATACATCACATACAATGTGAATTGAGGGGGAAGCATGGTATAACATTGTGGCCTACTTGTAGAGTCTTAAAAACTTAGTAAACATGTATTTGAGTAACTAGAGGTCAATGTCACTTAAGATTTTGCGTTAAAGAGGTGATCAGAAACATTTACACCTTCATCTTGCAGACAAAACCTCAGTACTCAGCAAAGTGTTTCAAATGTGAATGTGCAAAATAGATATCTAGCAAAGACACTATTACCATACTTGATGGCGTATATTGGCTTACAGAAACACATTGCATCAACAATGCACACATGTTGTCGCACAGATCGATCAGAAGCTGTCCAGTCCGTCCCTGTCGCAGCTGTAGTAGGAGCTGCAGTGGGTGTGGTGCTGGTGGCCCTGGTGATCATCCTCATTGTGCTGCTCATCAGGTCAGTTAATGTTTTGATACTTTGAATTGTTGCATATTTGATTCGCCACTTGTATATGATATATGCAGTTTTATTTGAAAGAAATGATGTCTTTTTACATTAAACAGAAGACGACAGAGAGGAAAGAGGTCGTCTGACGAATCAGCCCTAAAAGAAACGCCACATGTTCCTGCAAATAAGAAAAACCTTCGAGGTATGTGATGCAATCAGAATCTTAACAAAGATGATTTTGGCAAAACGTTTTGTTTAATAGTGTTTCATTTTGTAGCAGGTACGTTCCAGCACCTTACTTGCAGAGCACCTGCCAAGATGACTGATTTTGAATTATCAATTTATATTATTTTCCTCACAGTTTAGTTTAATAAACTTCATTGAATCTGATTCAGTCGATATTCCAGACTTTAAGCAAATGTACATCTTTATAGATAACACACCCTTCTGGTCTATCAGTTCCACAAACCAGAACCTGTTATGAATACTGTTGTACGTTTTTATTTATTCCCAACTTCTTGAATGCCAGTTTATATTCCAAAATCAATGGTCGTCGGCGTTGGTGCTTTGCATTTATGTAAGGGAAGTCAATTCTAATTAATACAAACAAATACTGATGTTTATTACTCACTCTGCACAGATGAAGGAAATACATACATGAATGTTGGATTTGATGATGAAGTGAAGCCAACCTTGTTATCCAAGAAGACGCCGACCACTCCTGCACATGTAGCTTCAGTGTCTCCGCCACCAGTTGGTCATCAGGGAGAGATACGTAAAATCCAAAGTGGGAACAAACGCGACAATGTACTTGTTGATCGTCCACGCGACAGTCAAGGTCAGCCCGACATGGAGGATGAAGAAGAATATGATGCCCATGCTCAGATCGCACCGCAGGATGCACCAGGTCATGCTGACATTAATTACTACAATCTGGGTGATGCCAGACCATGTCATGCTATCCCCGTGTCCTCATTTGCCACGCGAGTGCAAAAGATGGAAGATCACCCTGAAGAAGAGTTCAAGGTGAGTTTAGGAAGACAATATCGTGAACATCTTGGGACTTAGCATCTTTATTACCATGTTGAACAGTATCTGTATGATGTTGGTATCTATGGCTTTTCTTCCTTCCAGCATCTACCCGATGGTTTCATGCATTCCTACGAGGAATCTCAAAAGTCGAAGAACAAAGGGAAGAACGGGTTCAGAGGATATTACCCGTGTAAGTGATTATTGTATTCATAATTATTTCACATACGAATAACATATACGAATTTATGTACAATATTTCTGCTTTCGGCAGATGACTACAATCGGGTGATATTGCATGACGCTAATGATGATGATAGAGGAGACTATGTCAACGCAAGCTACTTGGATGTGAGTTAGAACATTATCATATTTTCAAAAAGCCAAAAATAGCCACAACAACATGAAATATTTTTTTCAAATGAATTCACAGGATGGTCACTTTTGTGTAATGCTAACGTTTCTAAAACTGGAATACTATTCAAACGGGCGTTAAATCCTCACTCATGCTTCCGATTTTTCATTCTTCTTAGGTTAAATTTTCAGCTAAAGAATGTAACATCTTACATAGACTCATTCTAATTGCCCTTGTTCGCACAATACATTAGTGTTTGTAGTAACAGTGTGTTTTGTTTTTACTCTGTCTTCGTCCAGGGTTACAAGTCAGAGAAGCGTTACATAGCAGCACAAGGTAATGCCAAATGATTATCAGCCAAGAAGACGTACTTATGAGTTGAAATGCCAGAATGTAGATGTATAGAAAATAGTTGTTACCTTCCTTTCAACCTCACTAAGTGTTATGTTATAACTATTCATTTGTCTAGTACCAACTGATATTTCACACAGGCCCATACAAACCGGATGTCCTAGTTGACTTCTGGAAGATGATCTGGCAGGAGGGATGCAACACTGTTGTCATGGTAACAGGACTCGTGGAAGCATGCAAGGTATGAACTTGGTTTTGCGAGGTATTTGACTTTTCGACTTTGCTACAGTGAACACAGAACAATAATTGTATCTGTTTGTGGCAAGTTTGTAAGCAAATGTACAACATTGCTTGTTTGTGTGTTCCTCTTTTCATACATGTTCTCTATCTTACAGATGAAGTGTCTACAATACTGGCCAGAGAAGGATGGCGTGACATTTGGTGACATCAAAGTAACTCTGGCAGCTCGAACACAACTAGCAAACTACACTATCACCAAGCTGGCTGTTCAGAATGAGAAGGTAGACTATTGGTGTGCTAAAAGTGATAACTATTGGTAAATTGTTTGTTATATCTAACCGACACATCAGATAAATACAATGTGATACCTTACACACTAACTACGCACCGGTGCACTTTCCTTAACGGAGAATACCAAAGCATTAACATGTTAAATGGAATGGTAAAATATATTGTTAACAACTCTTTCAGAGCATATTAACATTTTGAATAGAGTATTCAAAAATACATGATAATTGTCAACAGTTTGTTTTCAGCATCCGTCCTTGAGTGATACATAATCATTTATGACCACAGGAAGGCAAGAAACGGGATGTCAACCACCTCCACTTCACCAGCTGGCCAGACCATGGTGTACCGGACATTGCTGCCCTGCTGGACTTCATGTGGAGGGTCAGGGTCATATCTGGACAACAAACTCAGCCGATCATAGTCCACTGCAGGTTCGGTTATCAATAAGTACTAAATCAATAGCCTTTTGAGGCGCAAATTTTGAAAAAAATATCAGTTGTTACACAATCAACTTTATAATTCGTTTTATATATTGGTATGTTAGGTATTGTTATGAGGCACTGCTATTCATTGTGAAACAGTGTTGCAAGTCTGTTACCATTGTTTCTCTTAAGATGCAGTGATGTGCTAGTTATCATATGTACACTGGGAGTTAAACGTGGTCTGGACATTTGTTGAACTTATTCGAGCTAGAAGACGTTCTGGTTTCTATTTATATGATTAGAAGGGGCGCACTCTTGCCTCGGTTACATTACATGAAGACCAGCGGTTGGAGATAACATTTTTAGGCCTATTTGGAAGCGTGCTTTTATGTTACATTGCCACTATATCTGTACTGTCTCTCTATTTTGTACCACCATTGCAATTCCTTTGTTTGTGATGTGCAAAGTGACTGATTTCAAATTAACTTACTGTTTCCACCTCATATATCTAATGTAGTGTGGGGCACTGTGTAATGATCATAACAATGACCTTCTTTGTGTAAACTCAATGATGCAAATAAATAGAGTGTTTAAAGGCACCTATCTATACACAGAGAAACAAACGCCAATGATATGTCATCTCTACCATACAACGTTTTGAAGAATGAGTCCTTGCATTTGTTACTGTTTATCCGCTTCCTGTTTAGTGCTGGTATAGGGAGGACAGGGACCTACATCACCATCGACAGCCTCGTAGAGCAGGCACAGGCAGAGGGCGTTGTGGACGTCGTCAGCTTCGTCTCCAACATGAGAGGGCAGAGGAAGAACATGATACAGACAAAGGTACTTGTAAACAAAGCAATCGCTCACCAATCGTTCTTAATACAAATGGTATAGCGTATTGATTTGTCATTGTGGATAACTTCTAAACATAGTACCTTCTGTACCCAGGAGCAGTACCTGTTCATCTACCAGGCGTTGGCAAGGGATGTGTCAGAAGGGGACACAACTCTTGATGCCGCCAGCATTAGACACCTTGACCTTGGTCAGGTGTTAGATGTTAATATGGGCAACAGGACAGTACAACAACATCTTCAGGTAGTCATACTAATTGACAAAAATCCTTTTGAGATTGGTGCAGAAATCAGCCACAAAATGTGTCCGACCTGTTAATGTTGATACAAACTGTTGACTGACAATTGACGGTATACCTGTCATTGTTGTTCACTGTTCATTTGTTCAATGCAAATGTTCACTGGCAAGTGACGGTATATATGCACTGCATGTTTCCAGATAATTTTCACACTAGTTGACTTCAGAATTGACTATAGTCATATGTAACCTATAGGTGTCTATGAAATGATTAAACGTGCAGAATCTACACAAAATGCAGTACTTAACGACATTATCTTCTTTATTTAAGATTTTAAAACGCAGCGGTGGAGGTGAGAACAGTATTATCAGAATTGTTATAGTGGCAATATATTTCATGAGAGATTAAGCTAAACTAATAAAGGTGTATTATAACTGGTTAAACATGATTTAGGTCTGCATAGCATACCCAGACACATGTCTAAAATCTACCTTCGAGAATAGTCTTGGAGTTGGAATTGACAATATAAGTTAAATTACCTTTCAGGGCATCCCAAGGGAGCAAAGATCACAAGCGTGCCTGTAAGTAGGAAGCACACACCACCAACATTCATTTTATTATATGTCATGCATTTTGTAGTGAAATAATATCTATTTTCCCAAATACATTATCGATATATAGCTCCAGCCAAATAGCTTTATATGCCTTAACACCTTTCATTCTACGCCGTGATTTACAGACGAAGATGAATAGAATCATGCAGGAAAATCCATAAACATAAACCATTTGTATTTTTCAGCGCCCTTTATGAAAATGGACGACCATTATAAGCCAGTATCACAATTAGACATGTTGTGTAGTAAAATGGGACCAATGATATTGATATTTTATACTTATCCTGACTCATGATCTTTTGCTTATCTCCCTTTCCCTTTCGAATGGTTATGGAACACTTGAATCCCTTGAAGTTCCCGAAGCGGACGTACAATACTCACCCACGAGTTACCTCCCTTCCTCTTTCCCGCGCAAATGTACCATGTGACGTGCCCAGACTTGTCACTCTCTCCTTTTTCGCCAAAGCGGATGGTTGGGCGAGCACTGGAGTCCCGTATACGGCAATTTATCATTGATATTTAGGCCTATTCTTCTAAATTAAGCTGTGTATGGTTGTGGCTATATTCATTATGTAGTATTTGTAAAAAAATATTGACTTTGAGTCGTGTTTTCATCGTGTTGTAAACTTGTTTACAATTCATGAAATCCTGCTGTGTGTGTAGGCACAGGTTGTCAGTGGCTGATCCTCATCCCCAATGTCCTTCGTGTACAGATCCATGTTTATCCACCTTGCGTTGTATTTATTGCATTGATTTAACCAATCTACAATTTAATCAATATTTTTCTTATGTTTATAGATCGGGTGAAAAAGGCATCTCTAGTCACATGTGATAAATCTGCAGATCAGCCTACAAACCGTATGTTACTTGCTGCTGATGTTCATAATAGTGATGTGATGCTTAGTACGTTACAGGGCCAGTCTGCGGCAAAGGGGGCAAAGAAAAGGTCGTCTACCTCACAGCCTACGCATTCCCAGTCTAAGAAAAAGACAGCGTCCTCTTCTACTACGCAGAACAAGGCTACGGGTACCAGATCTGAGGGCAAAACTACACGTGCTACCGCTGCTACGCACCAGAAATCATTCAATGAAGAGATTGTGCCGCCTCAAGAGAAAGACGTTTTTGACGACCCCCCTATACTTCTACCCGAAGTATCGATGACATCAACGACACAGTCGACCTCAACTACTACGAGATCGTCCCCTATGAATGTCATAGCAGGCCAGCTATCCGACATAAGACGTCTTACTTCGAGGAGAGAAGTTGAGGCAAAGAAAACAACATCGCAGCAGCGTCAACAGATGCAGAACTTCGACCCTGGAGAATTCATGATGCAGTTCACCAACAAGATGATGGCCATGATGGAGCAGAGATTCCAGGAAGAATCGAATACTAGGAAGAGCCTCCCGTCTGCCGACACCGTTCGCAACCCCCCCAGGCCTGCGCGAATCTACACCCATCAGAGCTACACCTGCAGATGACATTGCCAAACGTACACCTCAGCGAAGGGCTCCACAGCCGGACGACTCCGTCATACTACAAGATAGTCAAGATGATACGCTGTCCAGGTTCAGCGAAACTAGGGGTTCCAAGGTTCCAAGGTTCCAAGGTTCCTGCCTCTACAACTAGCCGCTCTAGGTCAAGATCACCTCAACGCAGACGTTCGCGAAGGCACAGCTCACCACACAGAGGTTCGTGAAGAAGAGAATCCAGAGAGATACGTCAGCGAAGAGAACGCTCCCAGGATAGACGTTTGCACAGGGATACTTCAACAAGACACAGCTCGTTGACTGAGGACACTACGGCCCCTGTCTTCTCAGTGGGTTGAGCTTGGAGTCTCCCTCTAAAGATAGGAACGAAGTTTACACCTACATGATGAAGGATGATGACTTCGACTCCATCACAATCCCACCGATCGAGCCTATATCCAACGTACCGGACAACCTTCGCAAAGGCTGACAAGTACCAGACGCAGCAACTACCATCTTTTAATAAGAGGAAATTCCCCCTACACCACATGGAAAAATTTGTGAAGGTGCTGGAGTGGGATGACAACATCAAGCTGGTGAACGACGCCCGGAGTAAGGTGTATAAAGTGGATGACAAGAAGCTATCACAACTGGATACAGCTTCTAGAAGATCCTTCTTCGGACTGGCAAGATCTAGAGCCATCAATGAAGCATTGATAAAGAAATTCCAAGATTCCACGACGGAAGAGGATAAGATGATCTACTCGGCCCTCGTCACACAAAAGAAGGATCAGTTCTTCCTGTCGGACCACCTCACATCAATCTCAGCGGGGCTCACATTAATATGCAGACAGGGTCTACTGGCGTCCTGCTCCTGGAATGATAGATTTACGCAGCCACTACTACGAGCTCCGTGGGAGGCGACTACCATCTTTGGAGGCCTCTTGGATGATGCAGCTAAACAAGCCACACAAGACTCCAGAGAGGTGATGATGATTAAAACCATAGATACCCTGGCCAACGTCATCCGCCATACGTCCCAGAGATATAACAATAAGTCCAGGTATTCCGGAATACAGAGAGCTAAGGACCAGACGTTGATGCCAGAGTCTTCCACCCCCAGCCGTTCCTGTAAAACTATCAACAGTGGGTGGACGTCTACAAGGGTACTGGAAAAATTGGGGAATTCTAGAAGACAGCTACGCCTCTCGGGTACTAAGAGAAGGATACAAAGTACAACTGAAAGCCACTCCTCCGCTAACCCTCAGCCCAATGGTCTTCAAGTATGCAGAGGAACAGGCCGACAGACTACAAGAAGCCATCAACGCACTACTCTCAAAAGATGCGGTAGAGATAATAGATCGGAATCATCTCACCCCAGGCTTCTATTCCCCCAATTTGTCTAGTACCAAAGAAGAACTCCTTGGAGAAGTTCAGACTGTTATACAACATGCGCAAATTCAACAGAGACTACTTACTGAAACCAGAGAGGTTCAGCATGATCCACCTACCTCAACTGAAACAACTCGTCCGTCCAGCAGATTACATGGCCAGCATAGACTTGCAGGATGCTTACCTGCACATCCCGATACATCAAGAATCAAGAAAGTATCTACGATTCCTGTTCAGAGGGCAACACTACCAATGGAACGTCCTACCAGTTGGAATATCTTCGGCCCCGTGGCTATTCATAATAATAACCAAAACTATAGTCGCATACCTTCATCATCGAGGTCTATGCAATGCCTTCTACTTGGACGACAGAATTCAGGTCCACCAAGATGCCAGTCTACTCAGACTACAACTGAACTTCACGATCAAGTTGCTCACTCAACTAGGATGGTTGGTGAACCTAAGGAAGACAGAATTGGAACCAACACAAGATCTACAATTCCTGGGGATACAGATACAGATCTACAGAGAATCGGATGGTCATCCCAGAGGATCGCTGGGTCAAGATACAAGCCATGATTCCGCCAGCAGTCACCTCTCCGTTAACACTACGATCATGGCAAGTTCTACTCGGTCTACTAACCTTGGCGCAGGACCTGACGCACACAGGAAGGTTACAGCTAAGACCGCTTCAACGGTTCCTTATAAAGCATCTAGACAGCATCGACCCTATCTTGCTGCCGGAAAACCTCAAGAGGTATCTACTATGATGGACACACAGGTCGATTGTTTGCGAAGGAGTCTATTTACAAGAGCCGGCCTTCGACACACACCTCTACGCAGATGCCTCGATGCAAGGATGGGAAGCGCATCTCAACGATCAAGTGGCCTCAGGAAAGTGGTCCCAAACAGAACAAAAGCTCCACATCAATCTACTAGAGATGAAAGCAGTGATCAACGCCTTACAACTATGGTCGAGCTCGCTGAACAACAAAATGTTGATGATTCACACAGACAACTCCACAGTGGTGTTCTCCATAAATCGGCAAGGATCGACAAGATCGCCAAGACTGTTGCAGCTCACATTCCAGTTGTTCCAGATTACGCAAAAAGCAGACACCTGGATAAAGGCGTGTCACATACCCGGAGCCAAGAACGTACTGGCAGACACTCTCTCAAGACCACTACACACGTCACCTACGGAATGGATGCTCCATCCAGAAGCGTTTCGGAACATAACCCTTCCATAGACCTGTTTGCCACGAGGCTCAACAAACAACTGCAGACGTTCGTCTCACCAGTTTCAGATCCTCAAGCCTGGGCAACAGTTGCACTGAGCATGTCGTGGGAAGGACTAAACGGCTACGCTTTTCCAACCCCGATACTACTGCCAAAAGTAATGGTCAAGATCAAACAGACTCAGACGCTACAACTGACTTTGGTCGCGCCCTACTGGCCAGCGAGAGCATGGTTCCCAGATCTACTAGAAAATCTAGGAAACCCAGTAATCAAGCTACCAGATTGGCCGTACCTACTGATACATTCGCACACCAAGCGAGTCCATGGGAAACCCAACAGTGTTCCAGTTACGCGTGTGGACCATATCAAAATGTGTTTGAAGAAAAGAGGATACTCCGCCAGAGCAGCCAAAGCAGTAACACTAGCGTTACGCAGATCGACTCGCAACCTGTACAACGACAAATGGCTGAAGTTTGAAACTTATGCAAGGGGGGAAAGGCTTCATAGCTACTCATCCTCAAGTGGCGGAATATCTATGTCATCTGAGACAGACCAGACATCTGAAGGGTTCGACTCTATCTACTTACCTCACTGCTATCAGTACAGTAATTACCATGAAAACAGGCATCAAGTTGACAAAAGTACCAGAATTACTTGCTCTACTGAGATCATTCAAGTTGGAGGACCAACAAATTCAGAGCTCCAGCCTGGGACCTGAATGTAATTCTGCGTCATCTTACCAGTGATGTCTACGAGCCACTAGACCAGCCTGTTCCTGCTAGCGTTAGCCACTGCAGCTCGCATATCGGAAATACATGCGCTGGACTACGGTCGAACTACATTCGACAGAGGGCAAAATAATGCAGTTCATCTAGGACTTAGAACCAGATAGACAGTTCCACGTACCAGCGCTTTTTTCAGTCCTCAGCCCACAAGATATAGAGGACTTATCCTTGTGCCCAGTCCAGAGCCCTGAAGATATATCTTCAAAGGACTAAGATGAGGAGAAGGAAATTCAAGCGCCTGTTCATCCCATTATCAATGGAGACATCAGATGAAGTCTCAAGAACGACCATATCGTTCTGGATGAGAGCCGTTTTTATTGAGAGCCTACAAAGCAGCAGGACTAGAACCTCCTAGAGCTTCCAACCCACACGAAGTGAGAGCACTGGCGTCAACACTAGCTCTACACGGAAATTGCTCTATACCGACAATAATGGAGGGCTGCTTTTGGAAGTCGGATACGGTGTTTGCCAACCACTACCTCCGAGACATAGCCACTGAAGACGTCTCAGGCATTCACCAATTTGGACCTCTCGTTGTAGCACAGCAACTAACGGTTCCTCAAAAGCGCTGAGTTGGAAATCTCACCCTTTATCACGCTGACTTGTAGATGACTTTTACTAGGAAATGTATTAGTTTGAAAGTCCATGTGCACAGTCTAGGATAGGCTAGCTGAGTGATATAAGATCCTATACGGGTAATGATCTTACCTGCACATAAAGGGATCCCAACTCATTTATGATAAAGACCTTATCATAATCTATGGGTTGTTATAAGATACCTGTACAGGAGAATACTAGTTTATCTATAACCACACGAATCAACATAATTCAACTTGTCTGAGATTGAAGTAAGACAAGGAGTGGTCCCCCCGAGTTAATACGCAACTTGGAAGAATAGGACCAAGGAAATGCCGTTTGTAGTTCCCATGGGGATACAGGACGTATCTAAGGACAGCTGTTGAATCCAGTGGCTTGACCCACCACCTATTCCGACGGATTCTATCAGCAAAAGATCATGAGTCAGGATAAGGAAAAATATGTAAGTTTTCAGTAAAATTGATATTTTATATTTATCCTGACTCATGACGAACAAGCCCTGCCAACCTCCCCGTTGAAGACACTTGTGATTTCACAGCAGATCCAAGTGCATGGGCGAAATATAAGGAGAGAGTGACAAGTCTGGGCACGTCACATGGTACGTTTGCGCGGGAAAGAGGAAGGGAGGTAACTCGTAGGTGAGTATGTTGTACGTCCGCTTTTGGAACTTCAAGGGATTCAAGTGTTCCACTGCCATTCGAAAGGGAAAGGGATATAAGCAAAAGACCATCAGTCAGGATAAGTATAAAATATCAATTTTACTTAAAAAATTACATTTTTTCTTTTTAATGTTCGTTTCTGTTTCGTAGTCGTACGCATCTCTAAATGGCTTCTTCATTGTGTCGTCACCTCCGGATAAAGAGGAGATGTGGAACCAGGTTTACAACAGTGACTCGCACACTTTGATAACCTATGCTGCAGATGTTCTGGTAAGTATATATATGTATGACCTGATATCAGGAGAAAGGAATTGTATAGGGCACATTTTTATAGTGCGAACAATATACACTAGTAGGTAGGTCCATTGTAACTGTGTGTTTCTTTCTCAAGGACTATTTCGTATTCAAGGACTATTATGTACAGAGGTATTTTTTTGTCTTCAGTTGTTTCTAGTATAAACAATTATAACAACATGAATCTGATGTTATTTGATGATTTTGCCACCTGCAATTTTAACTATAATTATGGAGCACGTTTGACATCTAAATTGAAAATACTGGATAAGAATGTACAACCCATGCATGCAGTAAAAGGTGGCCAGGCTATCTGATTTGGTTTACGCATGTTATTGTAGCCGATTGCATAGATCGATGCTCATGCTATCAATCACTGTCTGGGTCAGACTCGATTGATAAAATACTGTCGTCACACAGTTTGAATACTGTTACGTACAGAATTAAACAACAAACACACACACACATACATTTTTAAAATAAATTGTATTTCTACTATCTTTTACAGAGTGGTTTGATTTAATAATTACGTCCCACGTCCGTACTTGAACGTTGTAATTACGAGGGTATAGATTTCCGGTTGATATTGACATAATATAGCGTTCATGATCTATTTGTTATTCAGCTAAATTAACTTTTCCTTCCAGGATTATCTCCCGTCAGTAGATGCTTCTGTTGCCACCTCCAGGTTTGAAGTGAGCATGTCCAAGTCTACAGCGCTGTCCGATGATATCCTTCTAAACACAATGGAGCTGAAACTAAAGGTTGCAAATTCATATTAATCTCATAAATACTCATTTTTTGTGTGTACATCAACACATGAGTGACAATGTCGTGACTCGACTTATATGTGTAAATGTGTCTACCAACACGAGAACCCGGGGAATCTAACATGGACCCTCGGCTTGACGAGCGAACAATTGAACAATTAGCTGCCCAAGTTTGGTATAACTGTCCACACTAATTACAGACTGTGGGGAATATGTACAGTGATGAAAACATTCACTTCCTCAAGAACATGAGCACAAACACATTAAGTACCAGAAAGGTGAACAGGCTGAAACATGTAACCATTCAATGTTATAGGATAACGATGACACTACTGTCATTCAACATTACCACATCACGGGAAGTGCAAGGAACCCCAGTTTCAACTTTCTGACTGACAACTTCCTCACGTGGACAAAGGATCCCAAACGAGGATTGTGCACCGTTGTCACAGAGTACGTACATCCATATAAATGTAGGTATTAAATTGTCTACAGATGTGGAGATTCTATGTGTACCAAAGTAGGTTGATAGGCAAAGCACCGCCATCGTGCTGGAATATTACTGAGTACGGCCTCCAACAACAGACGGCAGAGCACCTTGTCCATACATTAACTTTCTGTTGACATATCAACGTCAGCTTGACTGAAGGGAGAAACAATTTCTGTGTCTATTCATGCCACATAGTAACAATTCACTGCAATAGATTGTGAAGTGAACTGCAGTAATTTGAATGCCATTGTTGATCGCAGGTCTGTGGAGGAGTTTCGTTTCCTTGTGCTTCTGCTAAACATCGCAAGCAGACTGCAAGACGATGGTAGAGTGGACGTCATTAACAACATGCGACATCTCTACACACGTCTTGGAGGTCCGCCATTCACAGAGGTAAACTGAGACACGCACGTGTGTGTCGTATTATCGTGGACAGTTACACACCAGTTGCAATTATGTTCCCCTTGAGCATCAACTATATTCAATTTAGTTTTGACCCGTGAAGATCCGGGGTAGAATAGGTCTTCAGCAACCCATGTGCTTGCCATAAAAAGGCGACTATCTTGTCGTAAGAGGCGACTAACGGGATCGGGTGGTCAGTTTTGCTGACTTGGTTGACACATGTCATCGGTTCCCAATTGCGCAGATCGATGCTCATGCTGTTGATCACTGGATTGTCTGGTCCAGACTCGATTATTTACAGACCGCCGCCATATAGCTGGAATATTGCTGAGTGCGGCGTAACATTAAACTCACTCACTCACTCAATTTAGTTTTGTTAGTTTTTAAACAGATTGAACAGATTCAATTCTACAAATATACTGACGATTTCAATGGTATTCAGGAGAAATAAAGTTGCATCTGTTCAACAATATGTTGCTTTGTCGTCTTCTAACAAACAAGGAAGGGTATTTGCTGATTTCATTTCCTTCTTTACAGAGTGACGTGAGACTCTGTCTGGAGTTCACTCGACAGAGGACTGAGACACATGGTGTATATGCCAACTTCTGAAGCCATATGAAGATTAAAGCACCACAAGCTCTATACGTGGACTCATATCCAACATGTGCTCAGATCTGAGTTATTGCTCAGTGAACAATAATATGCGCCAAAGTCAGATGTATGATACAGGAAAGATGTTCACATAACTTGGACAATATACCAGCTACGTATTTCATTAATATGTGTCTTAATCCAAAGATGATACTTATTACATATTCACAGATGTACAGAAACATTGATTAATATTGGCCTTGCTGCAAAATGGATTGAATGTTGTTAGTTTTAAATTGATAACTTTAGATATTTGCAATTGTATTAACCGGAAACATCACCTCACTGAAGCTCTAAGCGCCTGTATATAGCCTGGCCTTAATCACATGAAGATTCATGCTTTAAGAAACTAACATGTAGTAACATTCTTCAAGTGAGTGCCGACAAAAATGTATTTACTTTTTTTAGTTAGCTATAGCCGTTGACATCAGCAATAAGAAGTTCAAACCCAACAGTATTCTATTTTCATTAGTTTTAGACAACGTTCCGAGACAGTCAGTTCATTTCTCCAACGCCAACTATCTTCACCTTATTTTTTTCGAGTATCCGGCAGATGAGGTAGATCAAGTTTCTATCCCTAGGTCAAAATACTTTCTCCAGCTTTCTTAGCACTAATGTATTTAGTTCTGAGTCCCGTCAAATTGCCAAACTGTCGGCCCCTCAACATGCAATCATCGTCATTGAAATATATGTGACCGCCTTAAGCATTGGAAACCTGCGCACGATGTGTGTGTGCGTGCGTGCGTGCGTGTGTGTGTGTGTGCGTTGGTGCGTGCGTGCACGCGGACATGTGTACATCTATAACCCTGACACCTTGGTCATGAAGTTGTCCAGAAATGATATTCAAGTTGTAGTTATGGTATGTTCCGTACTTTTTGAAGAAGCAGCAGTGTACAAAGATTCAACAACTGACAACTGGACAATCATCAGCGAAAAGCATCAAACATAAATGTAAGTGGTTTGCAGTTTGTTCTTGTCGTGCGGTGTGTTTTGGTCACGAAATCTTTTTTGATATACAAACATTAATCATTGAATTAAATATTCAAGAGTAAAAGGCCCGCAACAACATGAGGTATTTTAAGTTGATGGAAATCATCTACAACGTTTTGAAGCGCTATGAATTAGGTGTACAAGGTATAATAGTAGAAAGACTACTTTAAGCTAATAAGTTGCAGGATCAGCTTGGAATTGTAGACATGGATAAAGATATAAAAGGAAGGGAAATCTCTGAAAACGTTTTGCATCGTGAAATTGACAGTAATATCACGGGAAAATACTGCAACTAGCATGTCCATTGGATTATCTAGCTTGTGATAAATCACAGTCGGATACGCCCGTTACACATGAAACTTCCTCCAGCGTTAAATAAACATAGTACACTCACAATATACTATACAAAATATGCCTGATGCGATTGAAAATGTATCTATATAAACTAATATTATCATCAAATATTGTGATTTCGTAACATTTCGCATGTACTCGCATTTGTTGATGTTATATAAACATACGTGATCACATGCAAAATGATTACAGATGAAAGAATTTACGTTTTAACATCAGGCGAAGGTGGCCGAAAATTGAACTTAAATCCTGATCAGTGTAATATGTGTGTATCCATAGTTATGTATCTATATCTAAGCTGAAACAGAAATTCTGCTCGGGTTGGCAAACATATCTGATACGAGCCGGAAATTCTTAAGGATTAACACTGTGTTTGTTTCTGTTCGTAGCTAACTACTTTTCGGTACTGACTTTCACAATTAAAACACCAGCAACAACAGCAAAAACACTTTATGGTAACATAATTACTTTAATGTCAACAGAACAAATATCAAAACAGATAGATATGATGATATTAATCAAACCACAAAGCTGGAATATTATTGAGTGCGGAGTTAAACAGCAAACTAAACCAACCTGACATTACAGATCATTGCTGCACGTACGAATAGTTTTGGGAGGGTCAGGCTGATATACTTACATACACTACCAACACACCTCTAGAGAACCAAGGAACACAAATTGACATGAAAGTTCACGCAACCTGTTAATCAAAGCAAACAACCTGTTTTCGAATCATGCCTATATTATCAATTTTCCAAATGCATCATATCTTCCATGTATAACTTTGTAACAGTAAGGACTGGGGATGACATGTTTATTACATGTGCATATAAAAGACAATTACTTTATTCTCCGAAGTCATTTCTATTCAGATCCGATAGTGTCATTCGGTAACAGAAATTAAGCAGATGGATATACATACAAACTCTAACACACATGAAAAAGACCACAGTTCTTTTGACAGACCGGGAATACCAAGTTATAAAAGTTCTATGTTAATGTGTCAATCATGCTTCTCCTCTTCAAACTGAACATAACTCGTTTATGATGGTGAATAGAAAGCAACAAACCATTTATCGCTTGTGCACATAAACCCAAGCTGTCCCAAATGTATCTTTTACCCCAAAATAAAATGCACTAATAGCTAATCTCAGTCCATCGTGCACGTTGAGCACTGAGAGCGGGTCAGCAAAGAGTGCCAGTATGAATCGTAGGCCGCCATAATGATTCCTTCCCACAAAGTAGAAAGGGGTTTGGCAAGTCATAGTGATCCCACCCAACAACAGGGATGGGGTTCATGAATCGTGGTCATCAATCCCCACAACATCGGCCAACCCCTGATAAATCTGTCATGGGGTCTCAGGATGGATTGAGATTCGCGCCTATAAAGGAAATGCAAACAAAATCGGGACTCATCTGAAAGCATGACCAGTGATCAGCAACGGTCACAATTGATACACAGATTTCATGTGTGCATAACCAAATTTACGATAAACGTATAAGGACAACGCAAGCTATGATATAAAGTTACAACAAAAATGAAAATAAAAGTTTTAATACATGGTTATAATTGTTGAACTATTTAAGGGACATTTGGCTACAGCATAGTATAATTTAAGGGGACAAACCCACATTCTCAGACTAATGTGAAGTCATGAATTGAAACCGGTAAAACAATTTAAGAAAGTTATACACGATAAAATTTGGTTAATATGTAAAATCCTCCTTGACACCCCAAGTAAACGGGTATATTAAAATACAAATGTAACCATAATACGAAACCTTAAGCGTGTCACATGAAGTCAATTATGTTTCCCTTACTCACTGTATGCACCATCCATTTCACGAGATGTGTGGTCAATGTTTTCATACATTTGTGCTCCGGCAGATTCGGACAAATTACGTGATGTTGGGGCATGGGCTTCTGAATCTGTGTTGCCAGACTTAATGGTGCAATATGTCTCTCTTGTGATCTTGGCGTCATGTGGAGATTCAGCATGGAGACTGTCATATATCCTAGTTTCAGTGCCAACATCATCACTGTTCTGTGATTGGTCATTTCGAGCGTCCGATGCATTGGTTGGGGGTGATTCCGATGTCTTGTGTGGTCGTCTGGAATGTAAGGGCATTCAGAGCTTTTAGGACAGGAGGTACAAAGCCACATTATTTTCTGTCTCTAGATTTAAGACGTATATTTCTCCATTAAACTGACTTTGAAATATTTCTTTGTTCTTTAAGACTTTGTGACATAGTCGCGCATTTACCTATTCCTCTCCACCAGAAAACAAAAACAGACGACTGCACCTACGACAACACCAACTACGAATGCAGCTGCCACAGCAACAGCCAGATGAACTGCGTTACAGGCGGCTTGTAGAACCCTTGCCTCCTCTGAATGCATACAGGGAAAGTAAACAAGTTGTATTTGTGACTGAAATTTCTATTAAAGCGGTCAACCTCTGTGTTCTAATTTCATAGCAAAGTCACCGATAATCTTTTTTTCAACATATCCTTACGGTTGATAGTATTTAATTTCTTAAATTCTTCAGGTTATTCTTAGGGACGCAAAACAGTTTTGATATATCAATGTTCCAGCACTGAGCTGTTTTCTAGAATGTACTGCTCTCAGTACCTATGACCACCATTACCTATATACTATCGCGGTTTGTCAATACTGACTCATACCCACTATGACAGGTCCCTGATGCGTGTGAGTTCTTGTGCTAATATGAGACAATTTAGCCTGCTATCATAACTCTGCGCAGAGTGGTGATCCTTAGTTGTGCCAGAGGGCCATGATCGTGGATTTGAAATATTTTTGAAAGTGACATCGCACCTCATCATCTCACTCCATTGACGACCTACCAGCTTTTTTACCTGTACAGTTGTTCAGTGTCCACCCAGTCTCACATCCAATGTCACAGTCTCTAGCTGAGTTACAGGAAGAGCTCCCTCTACAGTGTCTGGAGGCACAGGCTTTGTCACAGTTAGCTCCGTAATGTTGGCTGTCACAGACTGGAACATTACCGTATAAACTGTCAAATGTCTTGCAGCTAACGTATGAAACATGACGCAAATGACGTGTATCTTCATATCTTACATGTGATCTTATCCTGTCGGAAACAAGTACAAAGAATGCTCTCCATTTTAGCTCTTCTTCATTTCGTCTTGTTTTTTCCCCGTCATTATGATCACACTATAGATATATCATTCAATGTATTGCAATTTCCTCCGTAGAAATATTTAATTAATTGCTCCTTTTTTAGCATATAGACAGATGTTACATCACTTAATCTTATTTTCAGTTAACGTTAATGCTGGGTAGTACGTTGTCAGACATTTAGGTTGCTACACTTCTGTCCATAGCTGCCGTTTGAGCACACTGTGGAGAAATCACAATGGCATGAGCATAGATTACAGTGTATGGCTCGTATTTAATGAACACTGTTACACACAGAAGAGTATTTCATGCAATAATAGGATGCCATTTGAGCTACGTATTCTAATCGTTTTCATGTATGAGCAAGCTTATTTCCTATTAGACTTGACAGAAATATAAAATGACACGCTATTTTATAGACCATGTTCAAACAACAAGTGTCATTGCCGTCTGTGGTAACAACAAGAAACTAAAAGGAATTACTCTACTGACAATTAATGACTCACCCTTCAAATGTTGCTGCATATATAACACTACTACATGGATTATAATACATGTTGAGTATATATTCTAATCCCTATTCAATCCTGGTTTGTGTGCACACTACATCATGATGATGTATGATAAAGCTAGGTTTTGTGTGATCGTACGATCATAGAGTTTTAAAGCTTGAAAATAATGTTGAAGTTTGTCTGTCAAAAGCAAAGAGAGATGTCTATAAATATGTTCACCTCCTCTGCAGTCTTCACCCATCCACCCTGGTGCACAGCCAGACACACAAGCCCCTCTTATGTGATCACACGGCGAGTTTCCTGCACACTTCCTGTCAGAACAAGAGTCGATGCAATTCTGTCCATAGCGTCCATTTGTACACTCTATGGAGAAATCGCAATGTCGTGAACATATTGCAAAAGCCCATTGTTATTTTATGGTTTTAAGCTAAAGGTTGAATCTCCTTTGTTTTATTTGTTCTAACAGTTTTAGGTATCCAAGGCAATATGTAATAGTTAGCCATAACACAGTTCTGATAACAGATAACTGAAAATTAATAATATGATCTAAAACCCATTGAAATTATGTGAGGAATTACATGCCAGCATGTACCTTGTGAACAGTCCGAACCTATCCTACCAGGAAGACATCCCATGTCACATGACCCACTGTGGCGATCACATGACGAGTTGACATTAGAACACTTCCTGTCAGTACACGTGTTCACACAGTTGACTCCATAGTGATTTGCGTCACATTCTACAAGGAAAACGCACATCAATGTTTGTTATCAGGGTGTTCTGAAGTCAAAATTGTAGTAACGCCATGTTGCTTGAATACTGTCATAATGACTTGGTCAGCGGTTTAAAGCAGTTATTACAATAACACGATCTTGGAATAAACAGGATTTCATTTTATTTAGCCATTACAATATTACATCAATATCCTCATTGGTTCATGAAATTTAGTGTAACGGTCAGAATTCATTCGTTTGGGACGTATTCTCTTCACCTGTATCATTGTCATAATTTTGTTGCACTATTTGAACGGACATCTACGAATAAAAGATCATATGTTATAGATACATTATGCCATTGGAATAGACTACCGTCAAAAGTAAGAAATAGTCCGTCAATATCTTCTTTTAAAACTCTCGTATCGGAGCAGTCCGCATTTCCACCGATGTATTATAATTGCGATTAAAGATACAGAAACGTATTGCACACTCAGATTGAGACACAGTTGCAGCACACTAAATTTCCAACCTGTTTCGGGTTAACCTATCTGATGTAATTGAATGTGAATTTGGCGCCATGCGAAAAATTCAATACATTTCTTTTTTGAATGCACTTTATGTTATGACCTCAGGAAGTCACTATTCTCAGGTTTTGATTAATTTCCATGACGAAAGACACACAAAAGTGGTGCAATTGTATCCAATACTTTTTGTCTTTTGAACGATAAAATATGTTTATCACAGACTCATGAAGATATCACCTGTCCATTTGCCATCCTGGTCTACAGTCTAGAGGATTCACTGACTGAATCTCCTCACCTGTCTCACACCTGTTGCCCTGCCACCCTGGTCTACAGTCTCTAGGACACACACCACTGATTGAATCTCCTCACCTGTATCACACCTGTCTCCCCGCCAACCTGGTCTACAGTCTCCAGGACACACACCACTGACTGAATCTCCTCACGTATCTCATATAAGTTCCTCTTACATCATTTCCTCACCTGTATTACACCTGTCTCCCCTGCCACCCAGGTCTACAGTCTCCAAGACACACACCACTGACTGAATCTCCTCACTTATCTCATATCAGCCTCTCTTACACCATGTCCTCACCTGCATCACACCTGTGTCCCTGCCACCCAGGTCTACAGTCTCCAGGACACACACAACTGACTAAATCTCCTCACCTATACCACACCTGTCTCCCTGCCACCCAGGTCTACAGTCTCCAGGACACACACAACTGACTAAATCTCCTCACCTATACCACACCTGTCTCCCTGCCACCCAGGTCTACAGTCTCCAGGACACACACAACTGACTAAATCTGCTCGCCTTTATCACACCTGTCTTCATGCCACCCAGGTCTACAGTCTCCAGGACACACACCACTGACTGAATCTCCTCACTTATCTCATATCAGCCTCTCTTACACCATTTCCTCACCTGTATTACACGTGTGTCCCTGCCACCCAGGTCTACAGTCTCCAAGGCACAAACCACTTACGTGGTCACACGGTTCTTCAGCGCAGTGACAAAATTCATTACAGGTTACACCAAACAACCCAGGGCTGCAAACTGAAAATAGAAGATATCGATGCGGATACACAAAAATAATGTAGAATTGCATTAGACATTTGTTTAAAATGCCAATGTCTGATATTCGTCGATTATGGTAAAAGTATATTTGTGCCTTGTAATGCAAGAATATTATCGTTGACAGTTGTACACTACCAGTCCTTTGTCGACATCTTCACATACATCTGCCTATCGTTTCAACACCTAATTAATTACTGAACTTGTATCGATTTCTGAAGGCACAGGAAAGATATTGACTCACCTTTAAAGATTACAGCCTTATTTCAAAATCGATCATTTGTGGATTGCCTGGGCTTTAAAACATGTGAGCCTAATACAAATTTAATAGACTCCTACCATATATCTCGACCTCACACAGATTGAGGAATGTGGTGTTTGATATCGAGAAATATCGTCCAATGCCATCACATGTTGCATTGTAGATCCCGCCGTTACTGACTGGGGTGTCGTAGGGAAGGCAGCAAGCGAGGCCTGTTGAGGAGCCTGTGTTACTCAAGTAGAGGACACAAGACCGGATTCTTTCTGGGTCTGAAATAGATTTTTCCGGGAAGTAAAACAAGTAGCTACTATTTATACAAAGGTAATCTAATTAACAATAAACGGTGATATTTTTATCCTAGGTTTATCAAACAAAGTAACCTGTGAACGTAAAGTGTGTCTCTGACGTTCTCGCAGAAATATGAGGTAGGATATTAAAATGCATCAGAATCAAGTAAATGCTAATTGTAGTTATTATCCAGAATCATCCACAAACACACATTGACGTATCATCTGATATTTTCTGACCTATTTTATGAAAATAAAGAGGAAACTATTCACGCAAGTTTTTTTCAGTATTAGAGTAGTCAATGTTAAGTAAGTCATCCTTACGATGCGATGGCTGATATATTTTGACATCATGTATCCTGTACTGCTTTTCCTAGGTCAACCTTCCACAAAACCCCATGTATTGTCAGCTGCGTGGAAACAGGAGCCATCGTGCAGATCCTGGTCCCTGTTCCCATCTACAGCTCTGTCCGCTGACCATGAACTGGTAAACAGTTGAGTAGGGGAGGAGGCATTTCTTCTGTAGGCAACGTTTTCTGTTTTTGAAAAGTAAATTAGATGAACTATTTCTGCAACCAATTGTTATCATATCTTTGACATGGCGTCTCATTCTATTGTTTAATCTCCGTATACAACCGAATTGGGGATAATGTGTTTCTTCTGTTGGCAACTATTTCTGTTTTGAAAAAAGAGAGTATGAGAGTATTATTCCTCTAACCAATTTTTTATCATTTCTTTGACATTGCGTCTCATTCTAATGTTTAATATACAGTAAAGAGGTGATTATAAAATGTGCATATTCTAAACATTTAAGCATTACTTTCAGCAGTGGACAAATACACAGTGCTGTTCATTCTGTAAAATATACAGAAATTAACATCAGACCTTCTGGCAGTTAGCTCCATGTCCCTCCAACCCAGCCAGAGTCACAGTCACCTCCACAAACTCCAGTCTTCTGGTTACAGGTGTCTCCACAGTCACAGGAGCAGAAGCAAGATTCGCCAAACTTTCCTTTTGTGCATGTTCCTTTTGACATACATGTCCGTGATTACTAACGTCTAATGTCAATATTCAGTAAATATTTTGTTGCGTTTGCGTATTCTATGATTCATACAGATTATAGCTTGAAAATAACGTGATAAATCAATAACTGACGCATCAAAACCATGCATGTACAATCGGTATCTTCCCGTAAGACAGACCGCTTAAAACAAACACATGTTTGGGTTGGTTGCATAAGGTTTTAATTAAGCTTCGTACCGTTGATGATAATGGTATATGCCCAGATGAAAATACAACATTAGGCATTATAACGAGGTAGGAACTTGGTTACAGTGAGAGTGGGAGTCTTTGTGATTTTTGCGACAGAAACTTTGATTTGTTACAGAGTCTTTGTGGACCTTCTCGAAGACCAAAATATTCACAACGAATTATGTCGAGTTTTCCACATGTAAAACTGTGTCATATGTATCAATCAATTTCACTAAAATAATATTTTAGAAATGTCAGCAGAGTCTTCAACACTGGTGTAACGGAAAATTTGAGATTGAAGGATGTTAGAACGGAAAATTCCTATCATTTTGTGTCTATTCAGGATAAGGCAAGTCCCAATATCATTACCTCTCGAAATGGAACACATGCAAATAGATAGTAACAAAGCCACATTCACAATGCTTATTTTCACGTAGTCTGCACAAAGCAATTATTTTGGTGAAGAAGACAATAGTGGAGGTGTAAACACACAATCAGATCAATTAATTATAAAAAGTATGAAAGTCTTAACAATTTATGACTCTTACAAGATTATCAAGGGTTTTCAGTGTAATATAACAATATAATTCTTAAGTGCTTGAGAACATTCTTAACTTCTCTAACAACTCAGTTCTCTATTACTCAGTATTCACTAATAAACTAGGGAGGATAGGAGCGTGTTGTTACTATCCCTGTAGTGACTCTGGGTCAGATCATTAATTAAATAGGGTGGACAGCATGGCTCAGCTAATTAGCTTACTCATTGAGTCTGTCGTATAGGAGTGAACCGTACAACTGAGTATGCTCCTTTCACCAGGATTAAAAAACCACAACATTTCAACTCATATGTTATTAGAGCATTCAACTGCTTTACAGCTTTCAAAAGGTTATATAGTAGAAATGTTGAGACGGTTGTGGAACTGCCTATATTGACTTGTACCATATGTTTCCGTGTGTGGTTTCAGGTGACCCATTGACTAGCCATTGCATGTGTGTGACTAGTGCTAATGATACGCTCACCTTTTCGCGAACACCTGGTTTCAACACTATTTGATAGTGTCACGGCGCCAACTACCGTCCAGGGCATAACAAGCAAAAATTAGCAAGAGGGGACGCACGACTCAACAAGATGAGCTGAATAAACGAATGCGCAGGCACTTACGGCCATGTTGCACTCTGCTTTTGGCATATATCCTCTATTGATGTGCACTGACTCACGATTCATTTCTTAATCCGGATATTTAATAGGAATGAACCGACCTTTTAACAAAGTAGTAAAGAATATGTATCCGACATTGTTGGACGTGGCAATAATTGATAAAACGTGAATGGTAAAACTTAAGAATGAACAGTGAGTGATAACGTCATGCGGAATGGATTTCATTCATGTAAGCCCAAAGGTGCAGTTAATCCGCAATACGAGGGCTTTTTCAAGGTTCATTCACGCAATGAAAGAGGTCGGGGACATTCCATTTTGGGGTGATATTATATTTGGGAATCAAGTTGTACGAGTGTATGTATGGATTCTTCCATCCACGCACGCATTGGCGAATTTCGCGCAAACAGGCCAATTTCGTATTACGCGTTTTTCACGATTTGCGCGTTAGCATCCGTGAAACGTAAGTTATTGTGGCTGCGTGTACATTTCCCTATTTGTTTTGCATTAATTCAGCTAAACATTTGCTTTACGTGCTTGCGTCTGTTACGTTACGCAACCGGCATGTTTGAAGTTGGAACAGGAACATTTTGGAACATTTTGGCATGAGCCTTAACGTTTATCAGTCGGTACTTATTGGAATTGCCAATCTCAAAATCGAGACAGACAAACAACTTTTACTATTACAAACTCGATTTGGTCGACTATATGCGACAAGATGTATTCAACAGATCGACTGTGTTACTGACAAACTCAATGTAAATATAGGGCCCGTAAGTTGGTCGCGGCACTTCGCGAGACATTACGTTGCGTTTGGTACTTCCGGTGACAAACAAGGTTTTTCGGCAATGGCGATAATACTGTTACATGGGGCATGCCATGGATAATCATACTCGACACTGGCTTTGTGACTCAGAAAACTATGCCGCCGTAACAGACTATGTTAGCATTAAGGCAATGTTGCATGAATAGATGCAGAATTGTCATTGTTGTCGTCTTCAGTATGGCTCATTCATTAGTCGGGGGTAAGTTTATTTGTTACAATGATTTCTTTGTTTTCATTTAAAGGCCGGTATAGTTTAGTTAATAAGTACCTAACAGTATGGATTTGACATGTGCAGATTGGTGAGTCGTTTTTCTGATTGCATTTGATATCTTACAGGGGATTTTATCGTCCCCTGAGAGGGTATGTAAGACCACGTTCAAAAGTATGTTTAACTTCACCATTTTTAATCATAGTATATATGTTCGTTTCTTAAATTAATGTACAACTCTGTTCACAGCTGAGGACATTGTAAATCCAGCTAGGGTCCATGCAGCAAAAGTAATTGCAAGTTCCAGTCCCATCTACCTTCAGCGTTGTTGGCAACCTATAACCCATTTCATTGTATTGTTCGTTTAATAATATCGTTTTACATAGCGTGCTAATTTTTACTTTTAATGATGTGATATAATTAGTAGTTTTACTGTTCTTCGACAACAGACTTTTAATTTCTAATTGTATTTCTAATTGATCTATAATAATAGCTTCTTTCCGTGAGAGAATAAAATATTGCCACGTAAAGATACATATTAACCAACCCACTCACTACAGTTGATTTTGCAATTGTTACATTTATTATCACTAACGTTATTCATCATGGCAAATATCAATTAAGTTTATCCTGAGCATTCTGTATCTACCAATGTAAAGTTATTTTGGAACCTCGCAAAATATTTTTGGGTCAATATTTGTAAAGTTCTGCAAAACATTATCGGGAACTGTGTTAATAAATACAGTATCTTGCAGTTGGAATTATCCAGGAAGATAACTTATGCAATGAAATTCCAGGTGTAATTCTAAAACACTAAATGTAATGA